CCCCCCGCCTTGTTTTTTATTTAAATCTAAGTGAGACTGGTCAGGAAGGGAGAGAAGACCAAAGCAAAAGCAGTACATGCAAATTGGTGATTTCTCCATTGGCTTTAATTAAGCTGTAGAGAGCTTTCTAAAACACACACATGCTTCATCTGCAAAAAGGTGGTGGTTTGTTGTTTTGTTTTCATTTTTCCCCCCCCTTCCAGGCTCTCATAATTGATGTTTGACCTACTACTGTCTGACTCAGAGTGAGGGCTCAAAATTCTTAAGTAGTTTCACCATTAAAACCTGAAGAGAAAATGTAAACAAAGCTTCATTTTAACAAACAGTGCAGATATACTCAAAGCCAGCTGAAGCGTATTTGTTTTCCCTTATCAGTTCCTGCAAATGAAGCTATGATCAGACACAAAACTAGCAATGCTCCGGTACTTCCCTGCATATCAGCACACGTTTTTCCAGGTACACGGTCTCGCGAGTTGCAGCATCCTGGAAAACGTGGTACTTTAAAACAACACGGGAGAACTTCCTGGCCAAATTCTGATGTACAGCGTAGATTATCAGAGGTGGCTCCTGGTAGTGTAACACAGGTATGATCTGACTACGAATCAAGCCACTAAATCTTTTAGCAGACTGTCACTACTGTCCTTCTGTTAATGTGAAAAATGCTGTACAGGAGAGCACAATCTCAGCTGGCTAGTCGCTCCTGCTAGCACTTGGCAAGACCTCCAAGTGCAGCAACTTCATAACCTTCTAGCATTAAAGGGGAGAGCATTGGTCAGTGCTCACTGCTAAAAATACAGCATGATTTAAACCTGAAGGCAGTGTTAGAGGTTTTGCTGAAGGTTTACGAATCTGTGTAAACAGCACGTCTGCCATAAGGAGCACTGAAGTCTGTAGAATCCTTGTCTAAAACTGTCCTGGCACTCAAGTTTGCTGTGCAAATATCACATAATACCAGAGACAGCTGAAATCTCCTATTTAGGAATTTATGGAACTTATATGTTTGCAGGCGTCAGAAAGTCCTTTTTATATAGCTCCACTGCTTCACTGTACAATATTAATGCACTCTGCTTGAAAAGCCGTAATAAATTATATTTTTAATGCTCTTACCCTGGCTTTCTTAAGATGCATACATTCTTGGCAAACAATCAATAAATAGGGTAATCATGAGCAGAGGCCAAAGAATTTGCTGAAGTGCTGTTTTCCCATTTTTAATAGATAAAGATCTAACAATACGGACTGCTGTGTCTGTTCATTTCAGGATCAATATATTCTTTGTTTTCGCCAAACCAAGAAAAAAATAAAAGATTGTACGATAAATGTTACGCATCAGACACAATGAAATTCCTCTGCCTTCTAACTTGATGCATTTAATAATCTTGGTTGCATTTTGCACTTTGCTTAGCAAGTGCAAGAAAAAATCTGGATTATAAACATACACTGATTCTACTGAGAAAAGTAGAGGCTGCTTTAAAACAAATGCCAAATTACATGCAGCATATTTTCATTTAAATTAGCAAACCTGCAGGAGATGGTCAAAAAGACTTGCACATTTTGATAAGCAAAATTTATAGATTACTGCCCATTGAAAGTATTTTCAATGCAAACAAAAACTATCCATATACAAACATCAGTGATTCTAAATGTGCCTTTTCCTTGTGTAAATGTCTAATTACAGCAAACCAGCCACTGAAAAATATGACACCCAAGTTGTTCATTGTTCAATAATGAATTGTACTTAAGAAAATAAACTGCAAAGATTGACATCATAAATGGCTTTTCCAATGTGATACCTAAAGATTTACACTCTCTCCTTTAAGCCAACTTGAAACGGTTATGGAAATACTGCTGCCCTTCCAAGCTTTGACCATCACTAAGGCGAGAATTTGTTTTAGGGGTTCGGTATTTTCTCTTACATATTTTTGCATTTCTTAGCCCAACACTTACTCAAAAAATTAATGCATTATATTACTTCTATTTCAATGTAGGAATTTGCTTTAATCAGAGCAGCTAGTCTTTACCTTAAGAAAAATCAGACTCCACCCTGTAAAGCAAGATGCTCCACCCAAGCATGAACCTTACAATTCCCAAATGTGATTTATATCAAAGTTGGGAATATACAGTATTTTACAATAGAGATTTAGTCCTGAAATATAAATGAAGTAAGAGTCTGCAAAAGTATGCTACCCCCAAAATACTATAAGTCATATTTGTCTAATATAGAATTATCAAAAGTGTTACCTTTTCTAATATTAGTTTTCATCAGGTGTCCAGAGTGTTTTAAAGGCACTCCTTGCATTTTAGTTCCTGTACTTCCAAGTCTTCCTCTTCCTAATGGGCTCCCATTCTGTTCCAAGCGCGCAATTTTGGCTGGTGGACCTTTCGGATCGCTTACATTGTTAGACATTTCTGAATGTTCTTTCCCCTGAGTTGCCTCGTTCAAATGATCCATACTCAGTCCCGCCTCTAAAGATCACCTGCCATGATTCAAAAAAAATAAATATATATATATATGTTGTACACGTGTGCGCATATGTATACGTACACAGCCTGCACATGTACAGAGACAGATACATACGTATCGTAAGCTCATAAAGAAGAAAAAATAACTGTTTTAACTGGAAAGAAGATGTCTTTTTTAGAAGAAACAAACGTATTCTCCAAAAATTACCCCATACCCCAATTTACAGAGAGATCGCATCGTAATCTCGTGGAATTAGTTTTTAAAACCCAACTAGAGTACCCCTTAAAAAAATCTTCAAAGATAATCTACTAAATCTAAGAGAAGACTAAGACTCATACAAATGATGATGATTGTCAAGGTATGTGGTCCAACCCAGCTATTGTTACAAATCTCTCAGAATGGTCTGTTATTAATCCCGGGTGGTTTTAAAAGACAGAGAGACAGAGAAATAAAAAGATTCTACTGAAACATTCCTTGATCTACTTGATTAAAAAAATAGATGCACAACAATGGAGAGATTGTTACAACTTTAGCTGATGGAGCAACAGAGTTATTAGATAGGTAGAATATTGTCCATCTACAGTTCCTGCCCCCCTCCCTTAAAAATAAAACTTAAACCAGAATTTAACATTTAACTGCATAAAGCAGTGGCGGGAGATGGTTGCTTCTGAGTTTCCTAACCAATGTTACACAAAGAGTTTATCAATTTTTGCAAAGTTAAAAAAATGCATGTGAAATTTTTCAGATGCTTTAAGTGTTACTTGGAGTTAGTTTATTTAATTAAGAAAAATAACCAAAAATGTTGCATCATACAAAAGATAATGCTGGTAAAACCCCCACAATTTCTACAATACTTTCAAAGCCCTTAAATAAAAATAAAAATAATTTTAAAAACCCCAACAAACCAAAACAAAATACAAATGCCCAAACCTGGGAGATGCTAAGTTATGTGCTGGCACAGCTATTTGTAAACCAAAAAACCAGAAGAACTTTTAATAGCAAATTAAGAAAAGATACATGTTAGCATGCTTCTACTTCCTTTTTTGCAAAGTTTCGAGAAACCACTGACCACGAATAACTATTTCAGTTATCACTCAAAGTCTCCCAAGCCTAGAACATATAGTGGAGTAAGTTTTGAGGATTTCTGTCACTCATTCAGATGCTTTAAGTGTTACTTGGAGTTAGTTTATTTAATTAAGAAAAATAACCAAAAATGTTGCATCATACAAAAGATAATGCTGGTAAAACCCCCACAATTTCTACAATACTTTCAAAGCCCTTAAATAAAAATAAAAATAATTTTAAAAACCCCAACAAACCAAAACAAAATACAAATGCCCAAACCTGGGAGATGCTAAGTTATGTGCTGGCACAGCTATTTGTAAACCAAAAAACCAGAAGAACTTTTAATAGCAAATTAAGAAAAGATACATGTTAGCATGCTTCTACTTCCTTTTTTGCAAAGTTTCGAAACCACTGACCACGAATAACAATTTCAGTTAAATCACTAAAAGTCTCCCAAGCCTAGAACATAGTGGAGTAAGTTTTGAGGATTTCTGTCACTCATCAGAGTCTGTTTTGCGCAGTATTCATCTATATAAATATATATATATCTCTAAAAAAAAATTAGTTGCTGAGAACAGACACATCGTTCGGGTTGTTATTTAATTCATCAATACTGCTGTGATTGTTAGGTATTTTACCCTGCCTTTCTCTGACTGAGAAAGGTGTGACTTCACTGACAATTACATTATGTATATAATACAACCACTACGGACAGGTGACTAGACATTAATTTATGAACTACTATTTACATTAGCAAGAACAAAAACTAATACTGAGGAAGTCATCTTTAGAAAGACTGGTGTGAATCTGAGAATTGCTACTTTCTTTCAGCTGCCTAGTAATTCAATACATTTTCTGCGCATTTCATAGCAAAGTTATTAGAACCTAAACATCTCAGGATTTATTTTCTTTATATACTTCTATGCTGTTGGTATATATGCGAATGACAGTTCTGCAAACTATCTTTTTTCTTGTTTGAGCACCGTGCTGCTTTTCCCGGTATGGTGAAGAAAGAGGTAATATATTAATCTGAACGTTTACAAGCAACCTCAAGAATGCCTCTGAATAGCTGAACTTTTTAGAAAATCGTTATTTTTTCTTATGCTGTAAGGTGACAGGCTAAGGTTTATCATTCATCTTGATCCCATCTGTTTTAGGTCGTGCATCTCATTAGCAGTACATGTGCCTATTTTAGCCACTTTTTGAAAAGATTTTTTTAAACTGTATTAACTGCAGCCTAGGCAAAGAATTAGACTCAAACTGTTAACATCTTTCGATGTTTCTGATGATGCTAACAGGCTACAGGGCTGCTTTTCTGAGACCGCTCTCTCTCAAGAATAAGAGGATTAACAAAAAAAAGGGAAAAAAAAAAAGGGAAGAAAAAAAAAGGGGGGGGAGGAGAGTAAAACAACAACAACAAAAAACATTGAACAAGAAAATCCTCGACACTTTTGGCAACTTCAGAAGTACTCTAAGGTACTGAGGCTCTTTGCTACAAAAAGTATCTAGTCATCATGAGTCAGAATTGCACTGCATCACGTACAGGGAATAAAAGTGATAGATCGCAGATTAGTTAATACACTGACTACAACCAAAACACCAAATGGGTCATTTTTGCTTGGCCTGAGAATACCCACCCATCGGCATCCTCTCACCGCTTAGTCATCTTGTAAAAAGCTTTATGTTACAAAGCAAAATTACATGCACATAAAACACCTAATTTACTCATTTAAACTCCATGCCCAAGGCTAAAGTTCACTGAAACCTCAGTTTGGAATAGTGATGAGCAACAACGAGCGTGGCCTGCCCAGGGAGAGGGTTGCAGGGAAGAACTATCATCTCCGCCGGTTCCAGGCCAAGAGTTTCCCCGGCTTTCACGTTTATACGTCTTTCACAAGTACAAGTTTTCATCACAGGCACTGAGAGAACAGCACAATTTCACGGCACAGTTTCCCAGAGACAGCGCACACGTACGGGCACACCGCGCAATTTCTGAATGAGAGTCGGTGCGGTATCTCCTTTTGTCGCGATGTAACGCCGCCGGTATTATCTTATTTCTTTCTCTCCTCCTGAATCAGCCCCCTCCCCATGCCTTTCCCCTCCTCTTCCCTCCCTCCCCCATAAAAACCCGTAATCACATTTGAGAGAAGCTCCGCACTTATCCGTTCCATATGGCTCTCCCAATCCAGGCCAAGCTTTCCCTGTGACCTTTTAAAGAGACAAAGAAGCAAAGTACTTATCTAGAAACAGAAACACTGCAGTTTTCTGAGTGAAATTAGCAAAACCGACCCGAAACTCACCACTTCAAAACTTGACAGCATATAAATTACAAAAACAAAGGAGGTTTCCTTTGCAGCCCGAGCTCTTGAAGAGGAAGAAGTTCAAGACTGATGTTTTCTAGGTCCCCCCCTTTTTGGAGAGGGGGAGAGGGGGGGCAGCAGACCTGAGGACTACTTCCCCTTGTGGCCACTTATATTTTTTCCCTTTTTTTCTTTTTTTTTTTTTTTTTTTTTTTTTTTTTGTCTTGTTTCTATTTTCCTCTAGGCGGGGAGGGGCAAAAATAGATAGCGAGAACCAGAGTAGCCATGAGCAAAACCGGCAATGGACAAAAAATACAGGCTAAATATCTTTTGAGGGAGCCAGTTTTCGAGGTTTAGCAACGGAAGGAGCTGAAGATCGAATTGATCAGACAAGTGTAACGCTCAAAAGCGAGGAATTCATAATAATAACAATCATAAATAAAAAAAACCAACAAAGTAGCAGGTTTAAATGGAGGTGGAAGGGGGACTTAAGTCTAGCTATCCTTTCAAAAATAAAACCAATGCGTACAGAAGCGAGTGAGAAAGGGGGTTATTAAAAAAGGGAAAAAAAAAAAAAGGCAGCTTTTCTATCCAGTGTGAAGAGCAGAAAGTCTACTTCTAGCTTGTCACTTACACTATTATTCTCCAATAGGCACCCAGAGGAGCAGCAGACACAGAAGGAGCCCGCTCCCCTCCCCCTCCGCAAAAATACACACCGTAACAGCCCCCAAACTTTCTGCGGAAACCTCAGCCCCAGAGATCGCTACTGGAGATTAAAAGGGAAAAGAAAAAAAGAAGAAGAAGAAAAAAAAAGTGTAGAGAAAATTGCAGGAAAAGGCTCTAAAATGCCACTTTTAATCTCGCCTTGCGGCGAGAAGAAGGGGAAAAAAAATAAATAAAAAAATAAAAGAGGCAGAGAAGAGGACCTGTCTCCTCTCATTTACCGGGGGCTGTTGTGCGAG